ACGAGTCAGTGTTGCGTGAGGTCGGCAAGCTATTGTTTAACTGTGGCCAATGCTACTCAAGAAACATATGTTGCCAAGGGCTCTAAGAGCGGATGCCTGCAGCAAGGGACCTTGAATACAAGAGCTGTCAACCGTCTCTGGTCTCCATGGTGTGGTCAACAGAGAGTGGAGGAATCACTTAGTGAGAAAACAAGTCTGTATTCTAGAGATGAGGCCTAGGAAGTGGTGAAGACCTCCAGCAACTAACTGGCTTCCATAGCAGAGTGCAGCTGATCCATTCGTCTTCTGAGCAAGAGGCCTCCAGGAGTCACTTGCTGCAAGGTGCATTGGCACCAGGTAAGACTAGTTATTGGTGGAAGTATTACTAGTTTCCAAATCGTTTCCAGCAGGAGCAACAGAAGCAAGGACAGAACACAGCTAATTAGGCTCAGGTCAGTCTTACTCCACCAGTCCCTTCTTTGAATGACTGTTGATGGCACCAGGGATAAGCTCAGCACTGGGCTTAATTCCAGGAACTCCTAAATTGTGATTTTTTCCCATCCAACGCTGACTCCCTCTTTGTCTTTTGGCAAAAAGCTTAGCACTTAGCTAGCGTTTTCTTCCAACATCAAAGCACTTTGCTAACATGTATTAATTAATCCCCAGGAAACCCCAGACCTGAAGACATTATGATCCTTGTTTTCCAGAGAACAATGATAGACATTCTGGGCTTAACTGGGAGGAGTGGATATTCTGGTTTGCTTTGCTAACAGGTCCCTGTGTCCCTTTCTGTCTGTGATATTAGACCTTGTCCTGTTTTCAAAGACAGCATTCCACATAGTAGTTCTGTTGGTCTTGCCATGGGAAGCAGCCTCCGACTAAGAAGAAATGTTGAACCTTGGCCATCTTTATAGTATCTGTGTGGGGAATGAAAGGCCAGGCAGTGACGGCCCCTTGTCACCTTCCTCCACCCATAAGGCACAAGACAAGGCAGGCATGCTTGTCTGTGAAGGCTACAGTAAAGAACCATCCTGCCTAATTACATAGAAGGGAATGTATTGGGACTACAAGAGCCAGGTGGGAAGGACCTGGGAACAGGATGCAAGTGGGCAGCTTCAGGTTCCGTGGTGGATCTGAGGCAAGAGTAGGGATCAGATGTTACTGCTGGCCTCCCCGTAATGACTTCCAGCTTTCCTCCCTGGCTCCTGTTTCAAAGTTTCAAATAGGACTGCAAGATTGGCCAAGTTAAGCTGGCATGGTGGCACACACCTGTAATCCCAGCACTGGGGGATGGAAGCAGGACGATACGTATCTTAGTTAGAGTTTCTATTGTTGTGAAGGGACTCCATGACCACAGCAACTCTTATTAAGGAAAACATTTAATTGGGGCTGGCTTAGAGGTTCAGAGGTTTAGTTCATTATCATCATGGCAGCATGCAGGCAGACATGGGGCTGGAGAAGGAGCTGAGAAACCTACATCTGGATCCTCAGGCAGCAGGAAAAGAAAGACTCTGGGCCTGGCTTGAGCAATTTGAAGCCTCAAAGCCCATTCCCAGTGATGTACTTCCTCCAACAAGGCCACACCTACTCCAACAAAGTCGCACCTAATAGTGTCAGTCCCTATGAGCCTATAGGGGCTTATTTTCATTCAAACATTAAGGAACTCAAGATCAGCTTTATCTATAAAGAAAGTTTAAGGCCAGTCTGGGCTACATGAGACCCTCTCTCATGTATTACCAACCTTCCAGAAAAAAAAATTAGTTGTGGGTGGGATGAGGAGAAAGTTGAGGACCACCGCCTACTGAGAGCACACAGGACAATGACTCAAGTGGATGTTGGTGCGGTTAAGGAGGGGTTTGGATGCTGGACAGATGGACACTTGACATCTGCTCTGTAAACCCTGCATATGTCTTCAGGGGCAGAAGAGAAGAGACTTCAGGGAAGCAGATGTTTAGCTGTGGTTAATAAGAGCTAGACACTTTGGTAGCTGGAGTATTTTTTTTCTTTTCACTATGGGCAGTTAGAAAGGCCAACTTATTGCATTTTAAATGGAAACTTTGCCATTTTTGTCATTTTTTTTTTGCGACATTCTTGCTGTGTAGCTCTGGCTGGCTTGATATCCACTACATAGCCCAGCCTTGTCTCAAACTCATGCCAATCCTCTTATCTTGCCTCCCAGAGTGCTGGGATTATAGGCATGTGTCACAATGCTCAGCTCTGGTCAGTTCTTAGCTGTAGTTAATCCCTAAACTGTGTCTCAGTTTGTCAGGGCATGATGCTGGAAAAGCAAAGGTTTCAGTGCCCAGGGGACACCACATGTCTCTGAGCCCTGGACCGCTGGCATTATATACCGAAGGCACTAATGACACTACAGAGTCATCGTTGTAGATCAGACACAAAGAACACAGGTGTCAAAGAGCAGAAAGGGGCCTTGCAGGTGCTGTCCAACCTACCGGGTTCTCACGTAGAACTTGCTAACAATAGCAGAAACAAAGGTGACAAAGACAGTATGTTCCAGTTCTGAGGACTGGGAGGATGAAACATAACACACGGAAGGGTGGGTAGGACCAAGGGCTAGGTGTACCCGGCTGGACACATTTGGCAAATGTCATTCACCTCTAAGGTTAGTGAGGACGGGAGCTTTCTTTGTATGAGAAATACCATCAAGGAAATAACACTCAGATTCTCTCAAACCCAACAGCACTTAGGAACAGAGATTTTTGTTCTTCTTGGGAATGCCCCTTCCCCACGAGAAAACCATGCCCCAACCTTAACACCTCATGATCTGATCATGTTCAGATTTCTGCAGACTTGGAGACAGGCTCAGCTCACTGTCAATCTGTTAGCACTGGAACCCCACCACGGTCTGGCATGCAGCCCTTTCAGAGGGGCAAGCACAGACTGCATGGCTTACTGGAGGGCACCGGGTGTCTACCCAAGAGAAAACCATGGATGAGAGAATGGAGGCAGGAGCACTGGTAGGCTGGCATCCCACGTGCACACGGTGACCACACATCCCAATTATCCCAAGACACTGAAGGCTTTCCTCAGTTTATATTTCCTCAGAAATATAGAGATGGTAAATATATGATCACTCTCATTTATACTAATACTTTGATGACTCATCCCAGGATCTGGGCTAAGGTTGATATATAAGCAAAGACTTGGGCAGTCTGATCCTACAGAAGATCAGCATCCTCCTTGTCCCTCACTGCTTTTTCATGGTCATTCCAAATTCTTTCAATACTTTCTAGCTTTCGTTCATCTCATCATAGTCTACCACCCATGGCAGCTGTTGCAATCACCTACCCTCTAGGTCTGCCTCTCCTCTTATTCCTTGAGGATTTTAGCTTCTGGCTGTTTTATTAGTCTCTTGACACCCCATCACACCACAATGATCTCATCTAATCTCATCTAATTAATGGCTTTAAATAGCATCTCAAGACCAGGGCTCTCTCTTCAATACTAGACATGTCTACTCAGTGGCTCACCGGCATCCTTACTTGTGTTACTAATAGGCACCTCGCACTTAATCGGCTGTGAAGTAAGTGTTTGCTTGCCCACAGCTCAAACCCATCTGTTAGTATTTTCATCGTTGTCATCCAGATAAAAGAGATACTCTCTTTTGGTTAACCAGAGGGGGGAAAAAACCTCGCCTTCACCTTGAATCCTCTACCCCTTCATACCTGATATTTAGTGTGAGAAAATCACTGATGCCTCTAGCTTTAAGGTGTTTGTGGAATCTGCATCTTCAAATTACCACCACATATGCTGACAGAGTGATGACTTACCCTCTCTGTAGGATTGTTAGGGTATTCTCTTAGCTAGATTTTTCTGTCTCTACTCTTTCTTCTCTACAGTTTATCCTCAACCCAGCAAACAGAGAGATTATGGTTAAACACAGGTTAGATCATGCTACTCTTCTGCTCAAAACTCTGCTATTAAGTTAAAAACCAAACCCTTTATTATGACCTAAGAATTCTAGATGACTTGGCCCCATTTACCATTCTGACCTCATCTTCTCTTAGTCTCCCTCTCATTTGCTCTTGTCCAGTCTAGTTGGTTTTCACGGCAGGTACATTCCTACCCCAGGACCTTTGAACTTGCTGTTTCTGTGGCCTGGAATGTACTTCTCTTCAAGATCAGCTTGGCTTACTTCCCCATTTCCTCATTCTCCTTTCGTCTTGGCAAGGCCAGATCCTTACACACACACATGTAGGTGGGTGCATGTGTGTGTTTTCTTTACTAATATTTTCCCAGGTCCAGGAAAGGTATGGTATCCGACATATAGTTAACATTAAGGGACCGGAGAGATGGCTCAGTAGTTAAAAGCACTGGTTGCTCCTGCAGAGGCCCTGAGTTTGGTTCCCAGCACTCAGATGGTGGATCACAACCATCTGTAACTCCAGCACCAGGAGATCTGGTGCCCTCTTCTGGTCTCTGAGGGCACTAGACCTGCACACAGTGCACATGCCTATGTGCAGGCAAAAAATGCTCATCTATATAAAATCCACAAAAAACGTTCAATAAATATGTTTGAGGAGATGACAGTATCAATTACACACACTTTTGGTTTGCCATTCTCCCAACAACTTCTAATTATCTTACATTGAAAGGAATAGCCATGATGTCTTGTCCCAACTTCTGTCACATTAAAAAAAAAAAAAAAGAAACCAAACAACAACAACAACAACAACAACAAAAAACCCTTTTCATGTAACTCTGGTCCTTGGGGATCTCATCTTTGTCTGTTCTCTTCTAGACAGGGATCCTTTGCCTCACCAGCTAGCCATGTGGAGGAAACGCTATATATGAAGAATGGAGCCTTTTATGGAACCCGAACCTTCTAAGTTGAGTTCCCTGCTTTCCTCTGGTGCCACTCGTGGCCTCAGTGTAGTCTGGTACACGTCATGCTCCCTTTGTCCTTTGTGCTCCACAGGTAACCACCCCACTTTCTCAGTCTCTTCCACGCTGCAGTCTCTTCTTTCCTCACCATGGTTGCCCTCCTCCAGACTCAGGGCTCCACCTAAAAGAAGGTCTGCCAAAGCGGCAATAGGGCCTTGGTGCTCACAGAGTCTGACCCTTTCCTGGAGTTCGTGACCCAGACACAAAGACAGGGCTCAGTGGGTGACAAGGGCCTTGTTGCCTCACAGCTGGGCAGGTGAGGGGGGAGGTAGGAGGAATCACAGTCAGTCTGAGGACTGTGTGAACTGATGGGCACAGCGTGAAGAGGCAGGACAAACCCCCATTAGTGGCATTGATTAGGTATGTCACAGGGAAAGCTGGGAGGAAGGGCGCCTTCAGGGTAACTGGTCTTTGATCCGGGGCATGGCCGGACAAGCACTGGTCTGAATCCATGGAAATTCTGCCTCCTACTTGAGTGTCCTGAGAACCTTCCTGAGATGCTCCAGGGAGGCATTTGGTCACATTTTCCATTTAGTCGGTCAATGGTATTGTTTTGGTGTCAGATGTGATGTGGGAAGTCTGGGACTCGGCCGCAGAAAGCTTCAAAGGCAATCCTAAGCAGGCTATTTCACTGCATTATCAGTGCCTTCATCTAGAGAATAATGTACGCCAGGCGCTTTGCATGGCCAGAGAATTAAATGAGGCAAAGCTGGGCACGGTGTTTCACACCTGTAGTTCTAGCACCTGGGAGTCTGAGGCAGGAGGACTGTGAGTTTGAGGCCAACTTGGCTAAGTTCCAGGCATGTAAAAAAAACAAAAAACAAAAAACAAAACAGTGAGACCTCTGGGGTGTGTGTGTGTGTGTGGGAGTTATAAATATTTTGTGTGTAAGTTAGTGGGATATGAAGGCAAAAGCTACTTCTTGGCTTGTGCTCTATTGAAAGCACTGGGTCCATCCTCATCTCAGCCCACAGAAGGGCCCTGGAGATGTACCTGAAAACGGGGATGACGTAGTCGCTCGGGAAGATGCCAGCTCGCCCCGTGACTAGGGAGAGACCCCTCAGCCAGCCGTCTTGGTACTTCCCCAGCACCTTGATGCCTTCTCCTTTCTGCAGGTCCAGCTCGTCAGGCCCGTGGGCTGAGTACGAGTGCAGGGCTACACACCTGGAAACACAAGGAGGCTGCACATAAGGGAAGCGGGGGAGGATGCTGAGGAGGGCGCAGAGCTGAGGAAGGGCTGGGGGCGGCCAGTCCCTATAGCCCACCCGCCGGCACCTAGCAACAAAACCCACTAAAAATGGAAACTTAACCATGGGAAGGCAGACAGAAGTGGAACCACCTGGCTGGCATGCCAGTGGACATCCTGCCTTCATCTCTCCACTCCATAGGGCACCGCATAGCTGGAAGGCCACCATGGGCACCGTGGCAATGGGGAACTGGCCTCCCGCAGAGAAGAGACTTGAAGGACAGGGTCAGTGGGAGAGGGGTGGGAGAGTCTACCTCGGTGCTTTCTCACTACTGTCTGCTGCTGTTCTGAGGACAGCAAGGCTCTCTGATGACAAGAGTCATCACAAAAGCCTCTCTGAACCCCTCTGCGGGACTGCGAGGAGGGCCTTGTTTGACTTCTCAGAATGGCCTGGGAGAGAGCCGGATGCCAACTGTAAAGTGTACGTTAGGAAGTCGGAGGCAGGGGTGATGATCCTTATTATTTTTGCACACAGTGATTCCACTGGCTGGACAGTAGGTGGAGGAGAATGGGTTTTGTATCATGGAAAAAATGTGAGTGAGGAGAAAATAGACACTGTATTCTAAAGTTCACACAGGAGTCAGGTAGGTGGCGTCCAAGTATGAGTCACAGTCGTGAGGACACCGGGAAACAGTGAGGCTGAGGCTGAGGGCATGAGAACAGCTGCCTCATGAGAGGCATTAAAGGAAGAACTTGATTGCCTTGCTGGATTCGGGGTCACTTCAGCCAGGCGTGTCCAGGCTTTTGACATTGTGACATGATGTTGTCATCTACAAAATTTATGCCCAGAACTGTATAATGGAGTTTACAAAAAAATAAAAAAAGCAAAATAGATCAGATAGTGTTTTCTGTCAGCTTATGGTTTTGTGTGGGGCTGTATCCATAGCTCTGTTTGGTCTCATGTGGCATGTAGGCTGCAGGTCAGCCATGCCTGGTAGTCCTTTGAGATCCTAAGGACTGGGAGACACCCCTAAACTCGTTATCAAAGTGGATCTTATTTGCCAGTGTTTTTCTTACCTCCAATGCTGAGTCTATTTATGTTTTTTTACTAATTATAGTAAGTCAGTATTAATTTATGACCCAATATTTTAAACCTGAAGGGAGACAATAGAGACTGCTCAGTATTCAATCTCCCAGCAATGCTGTCGTTTCTAATCTGCATTTTTGTCGTCCGTGCTCATCACCATCAGTGGTGGAAAAGGAAGTGGGATTAGCTGTTTGGATGCTATGGTTTGGGCATGGAGACTAGGTGGCAAAGGGATGTAATGATGAGATCTCGGTGTCAGAATTGGAGGAGGGGTGCTGAGCTTTTTACTCACATGTTAGCTGAGAGGTGTTGCTGGGAGCCGGGCACACTGACCACGGCTGTGGAATGTCCCAGGGAGGCAGGTGCAGGGTGAGATGTGCTGACCTATACAGACAGAAGAGACAGCCAAACAGAACCAGTGAGCACCCCAAACCAGGTAGGTGAGCAAATCACAGAGCAGCCTGACGCACATAACAACAGCCATGCCCAGCACAGTCCACCCAGCCATTTCTCTGGTTTATGGCCTTGGGTAGAGTGAGGTGGAGCAGGTGTCTTTTTTTTTTTTTTTTAAAGATTTATTTATTATGTATACAGTGTTTTGTCTGCATGTATGCCTGCAGGCCAGAAGATGGCACCAGATCTCATTACAGATGGTTGTGAGCCACCACGTGGTTGCTGGGAATTGAACTCAGGACCTCTGGAAGAGCAGTGAGTGCTCTTAACCTCTAAGCCATCTCTCCAGCCCACGGAGCAGGTGTCTTATGGCCTGTCCAGGTAGTGTTCCTGGGCTGAGTTCTCAAAGGATTGCAGCAGAGTATGGCAGGGTGCCAACTTAGAGCCAGCAGAGCTATACGTTTCTCCTGTCCCATCCCACCCAGCCCCTGTGTGAAAGCCTGCACGTTTAAAACAACAGGACATCTAACAGAGACTCGGGACTTAGCTCTTCCCCCACACTTTTAAGTGCCTTGTAAGTATCAGCAAATTTAGTCCTTACCAGAGGTAGCTTATTAATCCCCATTTTTTTCCATCAGAAGCTGAGATACTTTGGGGGGACAACAGTTACTTAACTAGGACAAGCACAATTTAAAATGAAGTCTAGGATATGAGCTAACCTGCTCATTCACTACTGATAGTATTAACACACACACACACACACACACACACACACACACACACACACACACACACGTCTTAGCAGGGTACTCAATAACTTATAGAACATGAATGTGAATCCTTTTCATTTCTTCCAGCTAAAACCAGAACAGCAATGACAGAAGCCTCTGAACTCTGCCTACTCTTCTAGGATTCTTCCCAATGTCTAACAGGCTGATGTGCTTAAAGAAAAAAGTGTGTGTGCGCACATGTGTGTGTTCGCGCGTGCATATGCGTGCATGCACACACACACACACAAGTGGAAGTCAGAAAAACCATTTATAGGAATTGGTTTTCTCCACTATATAGGTTCTGGGGGTAGAATTCAGAGCTTAGATCATCAGGCTTGGCAGCAAGCACCTTTACCTGCTGAGCCATCTCATCAACCCTTACCTTCTCCCCCCTGCCCCAACTTCTTTCTGTTTTGAGACAGGATCTCTCATTGGGACCTGGGGCTTGCTGACCATGCTAGGCTGGCCAGTCAGTGAGTCATCTCTGGGATTACAAGTACACACCACTACATTTGGGTCTTTTATGTGGATTCTTGGGGCTGAACTTGTCTTCTCATTTGTGTGGCAAGCATTTGAAAGGCTGAACTATCTTAGAATATTTTCCTGCTTCCCCTTTCCAACCTCACCTTCTGTCTTAGTTAGGGTTTCTATTGTTGTGATGAAACACCATAACCAAAAAAACAAGTTGAGGAGGAAAGGGTTTGTTTGGCTTACACTTCTACGTAGCTGTTCATCATTGAAGGAAGTCAGGACATGAACTCAAACAGGGCAGGAACCTGGAGGCAGGAGCTGATGCAGAGACCATGGAGGAGTGCTGCTTACTGGCTTGCTCCCCATGGCTTGCTCAGCTTGCTTCCTTATAGAACCCAGGACCACCAGCCCAGGGGATCACACCACCCACAATGGGCTGGGCCCTTCCTCATCTATCATGAATTAAGGAAATGCCCTACAAGTTTGCCTACAGTGCTGATCTTATAGAGGCATTTTCTTAATTGAGATTCCCTTCTCTCAAATGACTTTAGCTTGTGTCAAGCTGACATAAAACTATCCAGCACAATCAACTTCTTGGCAACCTGACACACAAACACATCACTGTTAAGCCACAACCTTTCCTTTTTTTTGTTCATTCCCTAAGACGACACTTTAATACCAATATCACAATATAAAACATTTTATAAACTTAAAACATCCCACAGTCTTTACAAATTCAAACACTTTAAAGTTCAGTTTGTTTTTTTTTAAATTTCAAAGTCTCGTTTACAGCCTAAAATCTCTTAAAATTTAATCTCTCAGATGTGGGATCTCATAAAATCAAAAATAAATTAGATACATTCTTACTTTAAGAATGAAATACCAGGGCACAGTCACAATTAGATCAAAGCAATGTCCACTATCTTGGATTCACTCATAATCTTCTGGGCTCCTTCAAAGAGATTGAGTCACTTCTCTAGCCCTGCCCTCTGTATCACACACAGCTTGTCTTCCAAGCTTGGGCAGGATTCACTCCCCACAGCTCCTTCTGTTCTCGGTGGTCATCCCATGGTTCTGGCATCCGTGGTGATATATTATGCATCCCAATAAAGATTGTCTGGGGATCAGAGGACAGAGCCAGCCACTAAATTAGACATAGAAGTCAGGCAGTGGTGGCACACACCTTTAATCCTATCACTCGGGAGGCAGAGATGTCTCTGGATCTCTGTGAGTTCAAGGCCACACCGCGGTACTAGAGAGAAACAGAACCAGGCAGTGGTGACACACACCTTTAATCCCAGGAAGTAATATGGCAGGACAGGTATATAAGGTGTGTGGAAACAGGAACTCGCTCTCTTGAGGCCGAGGATTTTGTAGAGGTAAGAACTAGTGGCTGGTTGTTCTGCTTCTCTGATCTTTCAGCTTTCACCCCAGTATCTGGATCTGGGTTTTTTATTATAAGACCTTTTAAGGTTCATGTTACAGGCATCTCCAATGTGCTGGGGTTTCCTGCTGTACCTGGGCTGCACTTTCACCAATACCCTCTCATAGGCTCTCTTTATGGTGCTAAACCTTAACTTCTTTGCATGGTCCCTTCAGTTCTGGGTCTTCAATTGCTACTGAGGCTGCACCTTCACCAATGGCCTCTCCTGACCTCTCACAATGCCAAGCCTTAGCTGCTCTCCATGCCCCTCCGTGCCTTCAAAATCAGTACCACCTGGGTGACTCTTGCATTACCAAGTCTGGCTACAGCTCGAGGTACAACCTTGGCCACCTCTGGAACACAGCTTCTGTGTGCTCTCAGGAAACACTTCACAGAAAATTTCACCTCTCTGATGTTGGCCTTTTTGTTTTGTTTTTTCTTTTTGCTTTGTTTTGTTTTTCAAGACAGGTTTTCTCTGTATAGCTTTGGAGCCTGTCCTGGAACTCGCTCTGTAGATCAGACTGGCCTCAAACTCAGAGACATCTTGTCTACCTCTGCCTCTTGGAGTGCTGGGATTAACGGCATGTGCCACCACCAGCCGACATTGGTCTTCTTCTTAATCACCAGTAATTTCTCAGCTCCAGCTATCCAGCATTGATTACACCATTAAAACAACGGTGATTTAGTGGTCCTGGTCTCTAGTTAATCACAGCCAATTCTTCAGCCCCAGCTGACCAGAACCACAGATTCTTCACACAAAGGGCCTGGTTGAATCTTTGCTTCCCTCTGAACCTTCACAAACCAGGCCGTCATTGTCTGCACTGCTCTCAACATTCTTGTCTTCAAATCTCCGACAAAAGACCTCACTGAACTCTTAATACTCAATGACTCTTCTAGCCCAAAGTTCCACAGTCGTCCTTCAGGCTTCCCCAAAACCTTGTCAAGTCCGTCCCAGCAATATCCCATAATCCTGGCACCAACTTCTGCTTAGTTAGGGTTTTATTGGGGTGAATAGACTCCATGTCCTTGGCAACTCTTAGAAAGGAAAACATTTAATCGGGGCTGGCTTACAGGTTCAGAGGTTTAGTCCATTATTGTTATGTGGGAAGCATGGTGGCATGCAGGCAGACATGGTGCTGGGGAGGTGACAGAGTTCTACATCTGGATCCGAAGGCAGCAGAGGCTCCACCTCCTCATGCCACTCCCTAAGTATTCAAATATGTGAGTCTATGGGGGTCCTTCTTATACAAACCACCACACCTTCCTCTACTCCTGCTCTTCAGCTCAGCCACGCGGTCTCTTTGGCCACACTGTATTTGACCTTTACTCTCTCCTCTTTCTTGTTACTTCTATTTCCTATTAAAAGTCTAAATCATAAATACTTCATGTGCACAGCAAGTAGATAGATGATTTTATGTACCACTTACATAATAGTATAGGGGATGCGTGTATCCATACCACTCAACTCAGAATACAGATAGAAACGGGCGATTGTACTTAGCAACTCTCGGCATCTTTCTCAATAGCCACATGGCTCCCCCTCCCCCTCCCCACCTCTAGAGCAGCGGTTCTCAACCTGTGGGTTGTGACCCACAGGGGTCGCATATCAGAGAGCCTGCACGTCATATAGTTTATAGTACACATCATAACAGTAGCAAAATAAAATAAAGTTACAAAGTAGCAAGGAAATAATTTTGTGATTGGTGATCACAGCATGAGGAACTGTATTATAGGGTCATGGTATTAGGAAGGTTGAGAATCACTGCACGAGAGGTAGCCATAGTGTGAAAATGTGAGCTTATCATTCCAGGGCTTTTCTGGGTAGCTCCTCCCACTCTGGCACACGCTTCTCTGTTCTGTCTGCTGTGACATGCAATAAGTGCATTCCGTGACAGGGAGGTTTGCTGTGTGTATTGTGGCTCCTGTCCCGTATTTCACGGCAGGAATATACCACCACGGGACTAGTCTATCGTTTATATGTCATTTGGGCGGCTTTTACTTTGGGGCTGTTATGAACAGTGTTGCTCTGAACATTCCTGTACATGTCCCCTGTGCTCATGGACAAGAGTTTCTCCAGGATATACACCTAGGAATGGAATTGATGGGCCGTAGGGTAGGAGCCTGTTCAGTTTTATTAGGTAATAACAAATTGTTTCCCAGTGTGGCCGTAACAATTTACACGTCTGCCAGCAACTAATGACAATTCCTGTTATTTTAGAGTGTTGCCAGCATGAGGTAACCCTCAGCTCTTTAATATCTACTCGTGTGGTGGGGTGAAATGCTAGTTCATTGTAGTTTTACATTCACATCTCTGAAATGCCAATGAA